CCAAGGTTATCCTTTTCCCAAGGATTCAGCTCTGGAAGCCACAGCTCTACGTAAACTCAGATTAACACCACCACTCAGTCCTGCAGGAGCAGGGCTTTACTTATTCCTTCCTCCAGCTGTTCTCCCATCCCTTTTCCCCCTCACTGGCTACCTGAGGCTGTGCAGATATCCCAAGTAGTACTGGGATGTGACAGATTTTCCTGTTTCCAGGCCTTGTCCAGCAGTGTGAGCACCAGCAAGCTGTTTTCCAGCAGCACAGCTCCGCACGAGACATCCTTTGGAGAGGAGGTGGAAGTGCACAACCTGTTAATCATAGACCAGCACACCTTCGAAGGTACCTGTCCCATCCCAAAATCCAGATTTTCCCATCCTGGAGAAGCCCAGGGGATCTTCAGCCAAAGCATTTTCCTGAAGGAACATCAGCCATAAGGTTTAGGGAATACCAATTCTTGATGGTACAAGTGGTGAGGAATAGGGGAGGGAATCTCTAGGGTGTGTCTTAAGCTTTCAGTTTAAGGACTTTGGGATCCCAATTGTTCTTACCTTTCCCGCTTATTTTTTTCCCAGTGCTCCATGCTCACCAATTCCTGCAAAATGAGTATGCCCTCAGCCTGGTCTCCTGCAAGCTGGGAAAGGATCCCAACACCTACTTCATTGTGGGCACTGCCATGGTGTATCCCGAGGAAGCGGAGCCCAAGCAGGGCCGGATCGTCGTCTTCCACTACTCCGATGGTAAGAACAAGGTGTTCTCACCTGGAAAAATCCAGCTTTTTTTTGGTGGGAGATCAGGGATGAGCTCCTCAAACCCCAGAGAGCTTGTGTCACAGGAGCAGGCAGTTTTTCCCAAGGAATCTGTTGTCGGGGTCTGTAGGTGCTGTGTTCCCTTTCCCCCTGTCTCCTAGAGAAGCCCAAGAATCCCTCACCAGCCCTGGATTTTGGGATTTGCTTTCCATGTCACTTGTCCCTCTCAGAGGCAGTTTTTTTAGGAAGCAAAATTCAGGCCAGCTCAGCTGAACCCCTTTGATTTCCCACTCTTTGGATAAACAATCCAAGTAATGCCTGGCTTTATTCCAGGGAAGCTGCAGAGCCTGGCTGAGAAGGAGGTCAAGGGAGCTGTGTATTCCATGGTGGAATTCAACGGGAAGCTGTTAGCCAGCATCAACAGCACGGTAGGCAAGGCTCTGACTTTTTTTTAGGAGTGTACTTGTGGATCTGGATGTCAGCCAGGTGTCTGTTGTGGAGCATATCCCAGCTCTCATGTGGAGAATCCCAATCCGTGTCCCATCCCACAGGTCCGCCTGTACGAGTGGACAGCAGAGAAGGAATTGCGCACGGAGTGCAACCACTACAACAACATCATGGCCCTGTACCTGAAAACCAAGGGGGATTTCATCCTGGTGGGAGACCTCATGCGCTCCGTGCTGCTCCTGGCCTACAAACCCATGGAAGGGAATTTTGAGGAGGTATGGAAGCGGTGCCAGGAATCAATTCCGACCGCTCTGGGCACAGGGAATGGTGTTGGAGGGGATAAAAGGAGGAGTTTGGCTTGATTGGATAAGGTTTGACATGGATCCCTGTGGTTTCTGGAGGGATGGATCCCTCAGTTTCTAGGGAACTGGCTGTGGGAAGAGCAGCTGGTGCCTGGTGGGTGGGAGATGCCATCTGGGATGCCTGGTGTCCACTTGGAATGGAGGTTTAAATTGCTGGAGTGGCTTTGGCATAGGCTGCTCCACACTTTCCCAGGATGTTATCCAAGTGCCACTTGGACTAGGACCATCTCCAGGAGTGCCTTTCCTGCTCAGCTACTTCCTGGAGCAGAGAAGGACATGCTGGATCCCGCCTTGCTCCTGAATATTGGTGTTGGGTGGGATGAGGATGCAGGATCCCAGGCCAGGCCACCTGGACACAGCGTGTCCCTTCTTGGCCCCTTCCAGATTGCCCGGGATTTCAATCCAAACTGGATGAGTGCTGTGGAAATCCTGGATGATGATAATTTCTTGGGAGCAGAGAACGCTTTCAATCTATTCGTGTGCCAGAAGGACAGGTAAACTGGTTGGGATAGATTGGGAATGGGATGGGACAGCACATGCTGGGAGGGATGGGATGCTGGGATGGACCTTCAGGAAAACTGGAGAAGCATTCCCAGCTTTTGGGAGCAAGGGAAAGTTTTAGAGTGCCCCCATCCGGGACTGAGAAGTTTTTGGGATTCTAGCGCGGCCACAACGGATGAGGAGCGGCAGCACCTGCAAGAAGTGGGATTATCCCACCTGGGAGAGTTTGTCAATGTCTTCTGCCATGGATCCCTGGTCATGCAGAACTTGGGAGAGACTTCCACGCCCACCCAGGGATCCGTGCTCTTTGGCACTGTCAATGGAATGATCGGTAAGGAGCAGGGCTGAGGATCCCCTGCAGAATCCTGGAGTGGTTTGGGTTGGAAAGCTCATCCAGCTCCACCCCCTGCCACATTCCCATGACCGTTATTCCTGTGCAGGCCTGGTGACATCCCTGTCGGAAAGCTGGTACAACCTGCTCCTGGACATGCAGAACAGGCTCAATAAAGTCATCAAGAGCGTGGGGAAGATTGAGCATTCTTTATATCCTTTAGCATTCCAGCCAGGAGCATGTGCTGGGTAGAGTTTACCAGCTGGAGAGGGTGGGAGTGGGTTTCCATTACCCTGAGCAATCATGGACTTAAAGATGGGAGGATGGGAGATTTCTCTGAGACCACAGAGTCCAATCATTAACCCAGCACCATGCCCAGGGCTGGTGTTATTCCCTGTGGATTTGGCTCCTTGACAGTGGCACCTGGAGATCCTTCCACACCGAACGAAAGACGGAACCAGCCACAGGATTCATCGATGGAGACTTGATTGAGAGTTTTCTGGACATCAGCAGGCCCAAGATGCAGGAAGTGGTGGCAAACCTGCAGGTGAGCTTGGGAATGTAGCCTTGGATCTTTCAAGGATTTTGCTCAGCAATCCAGGCTCAGTAAATCATGGAATTGTAGAGTTATGGAATGGTTTGGGTTGGAAGGGAATTAAAGGCACCTCCCACTAGACCAAGTCGCTCCAAGCCTTGTTCAACCTGGCCTGGAACACTTCCAGAGATGGGGAAGCCACAGCCTCTCTGGGAAGTGCTAAATCCACACGTCCCTGAATGATCTGGGAATGTTTTTTGGCACCTGCCGATGTCTCCAATGCCTTTTCCGCCCTGTGCAGATTGACGATGGAAGCGGGATGAAGAGGGAAGCCACCGTGGATGACCTGATAAAGATTGTAGAGGAGCTGACCCGGATCCATTAGCAGGACTCGGGATTGTTTCCTACCCCTACCCTCCACATGGAGCAAGGGAATCCTTCCCCAGCTGTGCCCAGCACTGGCAGCAGCGGCCAGAGGGGGATGGAATCTCACAGGGCAAGCAGCTTGTTAGGAATTTGGGGAGGTGTCAGTCATCTCCTGCTGGCATTCATGGATTCTATGGAATTGGCTGGGCCCAGAACTGTCCCTTTCCTTGGGTGATCCACTGGGATTTGATGCCCTCGCCTCGATTCCCTTTTCCCTGGTGTCCTTAGGTATTTTGTTACTTTTTTTGGCTTTTAGTTTTGCTTTTGATCCTGTTTTGTTGGGTTTTTTTTGTTTTCATTTTGATTCCTTGTGTTTTTTTGGAAGAGGAATCAAAGCTCGAGGAGCAGCCAAGGCTGGAGCCTTGGCTCACCATAGGATCCATGCCTTGCTCAGGGAGGGAAGTTCTGGGAAGTTTAAGCTGTTGCTGATTTCGGAGTTTTACCAAATAAAGTAGTCCAAGAGGAAATATCTGTGTCCTGAGGAATGATGATACCCGTGTCCGAGGCTCTGAGATCTTGGGGATACCTGTTTTCCATATGCATTTTTCTGGCTTTTCTTGGATTTGTAGGAAATTTTAGTTCCTTGCCCGGTTGCCAGTGGCACTGTGAGTACCTTGAGAGGCAGATTGTAATGGAATTTTTTGGGAAAGCTGGATTTTCCAGCCTCTGGCTGCTTATTAATAGTTCTCATGGTCTCCCACCTCCTTCACATCTCTCATGGAATTTGGGGGTTATCTTGGATCTTTCCATGTTCTCCCCATCCTGGATCTCCCCTGTAGCTTCCGGGTAAGTGCCCCCCAAGTCCCATTCCATGCGGGTTTTTCCCAGATCCTTCCCTCCCACAGACAGCTCGTGCTGGAATCATCCCTGGGTCCCTCTTCCATCCCGTATTTCAGAGGAGACCACAGGGACAAAGGTATATTTGGACATCTCTTCCGAGAGCTGGGGGAGCAGGCAGTGACCTTGGACTCTGTGCTGCTGCTTTTATTACCTCGGGCTCTGTTTACCTGCCTGGAGCAGCCTGTTCCCAAACTGTGGGAGGCCCAGGGAGCGCCACAGCCCGGATCCTGGAAGCGCTCTCCTTTTCCCACCAAATCTGGGGGTGGTGGTGCCAATGCAATGTTGGCACCCTGCTTTTTCTGGGATAAAACTGCTGCTGGCTAGGGCTGGATCATTGTTTATCTGCTGCCACTGGAGCTGCCTCCCAGGGATTTGGGATCACATTCCCTTGGGACAGGAGCTTCTCATGGCCGCATTGGGTTCCTAAAAAAACTGGCAGGACCTGCCCCCCCAATACCGTGGTTTCCATTTGGAAGGGGGCTGTGTCTTGCCTGGGTGATCCCAACCCTTGGGCAGGGTGGGGAGAAATCCATGCTGGATTGGGAATTTTGGAGGCTGCAGTGCCTTTTGCTCCATGGGATCAATCATTTACCTGCCTCTGACCTTTGCTTCATTCCCTGCCCTGGGATGGGGGCACGGGGCTGGGGGGACTCTGGGGGTCACCGGAATGGGGTGTCCCGCAGCATCCCTTTCTCTCCTGGATGCATCCCACCATCCTTGGCCCCTTTCTCCGCCGCGTGGGTCCCCGTGCAGGGCTGGGAAGGCGGCCCAACGCCTCCAGGAGAAGGAGGAGGAGGAGGAGGGGTGGGGAGAGGCCATGCCGGATCTTTGCCAGATGTGGGAAAGGAGAGAAGGGGGGACGCCTTTCCCGCTGCTTCCCAAACCTAGGGGGGACCCCGTTCCCCGGCGCTCAGCCAGGGCAGGAATGGCCGGGATGCCACCACCCGCCCCAGCTGAACGGGACAACCTCGGGGTGAACCCAGGCCCCCCGTGTGGGTTTGGGGGGGTGGGTAGGTGCCGCTGGCGACCCCCCCCCCCCCGCTCTCGCCCCCCTCCAATCCCGCATTGTTCCCGGCTCGGCGGGAGGAGGAGGAGCAGGGCCAAGGGCCAGCGGGAAGGCAGGCGGGAAGGCGGGCGCCGGGACGTGCTGGAGCCGCCTGTCATGTTGGTGGAGCTGCTCTTCCAGGCTGCCTGTGTGTCCCTGTTCCTCTCCAGCGGCCAGGGCAGGGTGTATCCCACGAGGAAGAAGCCGGCCAGCTTTGCCGTGGAGAGGTAGCTGGATTCCTCCCTTTTCTTTCTCCCTCTTCCAGCTACACCTGGGATGGACAGCCTGCCGAGCTCCGGCTACCCCTGCCTCCAGCTGCAGGAGGGCTTGGCCAGAGGGGTCCCAGCTGGAGGGGCTGGCACCCCACAATTCCCTCCCTCTTCCCGGGTCCAGGGGGGCGTGACACTGCTCCCTGCATCCCCGTCCTTCTCCCCCCATCCCTGTCCTTTTCCCCACATCCCTGTCTTGCTCCCCGTGTCCCTGTCCAGCCGGGGGACGCTTCTCCCGTCACCACGTGCTGGGATGTTCTGGATGGCTGGGAAGTGGTTGTCCCCTCTCTGTCCCACCTTCCTTATCCTACCTTCCTCTGATCCGTGCCATGCTCTGCTTCCCACTCCACGGGCACATCCTGACTGCTCCGGTTGTCCCCCTCTCCTCACATTCCTGGGACCTTTGCTCCGTGCAGGGGGTTCAGGACAGGGTGGCCTCAGGCTCTGGTGTCCCACAGGCGTCGCGTGGGGCCCCACGTCTGCTTCCTAGGCTCCGGCAGCGGATGTTGTCCCGGCTGGATGCTGTCCCCTGGCAGCGGGAAGTGCACCCTGCGTGAGTACGGGGGTCTGGGGGACTTGTGGGTGTCCTGTTCCCATTCCCAGAGCTCCTGTTCCCATTCCCACAGCGCTCTGCTCCTTCGGCTGTGGTGGTGGTTCCTGCATCGCTCCCAACCTTTGCATGTGCCCAGATGGAGAGCAGGGAATCACCTGCCCAGGTACTGAGAGAAGTGGCTATGCCGGATGCCCTTCCCTCTCCACACCACGAATCTCAAGGGATGGAGATGGCCACGAACCCGTGGGCACCTTCCCCAGCCCTCTTCCTTCTCCATGCCACAAATCCCAGCAGATGGAGGTGACCGTGGCTCCTTGTCACCTCTCCCTGGCACTGTCCCCATCCCTGGAGGATCCATGGAGTGGGATGGGAAGCGGGTGGTCCTGGGGTGTCCACGGGGTGGCATGGGTACCCCGTGGACACCATGTCCGTGTTCCAGAACCGCCAGGAACTTGCGGAGAGTACGGCTGCGACCTGTCCTGTAACCATGGCGGCTGCCAGGAGGTCGCCCGCGTGTGTCCCGTTGGCTTCTCCATGGCCGAGACGGCCAACGGCGTCCGCTGCACTGGTGAGTGGGAGTGGGCATCCCAGTGGTGCCCACACCCCAAATCTGACTGTTCCCTGTGTCCCCCTAGACATCGATGAGTGCCAGAGCGCGGCCTGTGAGGGGACGTGCGTGAACACGGAGGGCGGCTTCGCCTGCGAGTGCGGAGCTGGCCGGGAGCTCTCTGCTGACCGCCGCAGCTGCCGGGGTGCGTGGGGTCCCAGGGGGTGGCCGGGGCTCCCGAGGGATCCTGACCCTCATCCCAACCCCCAGACACGGATGAATGCCAGGCCACGCCGTGCCAGCACCGCTGCGAGAACAGCGTGGGCAGCTACCGCTGCTCCTGCCGGCCCGGATACCACCTCCATGGGAATCGGCATTCCTGCGTGGGTGAGCACCGGGATAGGGTTCTTCCCTATCAGTTCCAGGGGATGGAGGTGGCCCTGAGACCCTGAACACTGTGCCACACCCCCTTCCCTCTCCATACCATGAATCCCAAGGGATGGAGGTTGTCACTGAGCCTCTGCATGTATGAGCACCATGCTTAACCCTTATCCCTCTCCACGCTGTAAATCCCAAGGGATGGAGGTGTCCATCAGCCCGTGACCACAGTGCTGCCACCTCATCCTCCTCCCTGTGTGGGCTACACTGAGGACACATCCTGGTGCTCCTCCCTGGGCCACATCCCAGGGCCACCTCCTGCCTCATTCCCTTGTCCCACAGATGTGGACGAGTGCCGGCGGCCTGGCACGCGCCGCTCCTGCCAGCACAGCTGCCACAACATCCCCGGCAGCTTCCGCTGCTCCTGCCGCCCTGGATACCGGCTCAGCGCAGACAGGGTGTCCTGCGAAGGTATCTGTGTCCTTCTCCTGGCTGGAGGAACGGAGTGGGATGCTCCCATCTCTCTGCCTGCCCAAATGATGTCTCTGCCTTCCTGATTTCCTTCCTAGGGTACCCCAAATCTATCCTGGCCCCGTCGCCCATCCTGCAATCCCTGCAGCATCCACCCACCCTTGTCCTGCTCCCTCCTGGTTCCCACCTGCTCCCGAGGGGCTCCCCCTCTCCCCTCCTCCCTGTGGCAGCTCCTGGTACCCAATTCCCTCCCTCCTCCCCATCCCTGTCCCCTGAGCCATCCTCACGTGCCATGGGAGCCCCCGGAACCTCCATCCCACCATCCCGTCGTTGCTGGCACCGGGGGATCTCTCGGGAGCCTGGCAGTCGCTGGACAGAGCCAGGCTGCCAGAGCTGCACCTGCCAGGTGAGCATTCCATCCTCCCACCCCTTCCCATGGCACCATCCCAACCTGGGATGAGCCACCACGTGTCCTGGCAGGGGGGACGAGTCCTCTGTGACACCGTGAGCTGCTCTGTTCCCTGCTCCCACCCGCTTCCCGCTCCGGCTGGGGGTTGCTGCCCCACCTGCACGGGTGAGTCCCGACCCCCTGATGCCCCCAATTCCCAGGATGGCCCCCCTTGAATTCCCAGGGGGATGCCCCTGACCCCCATGGCTTGCAGGGTGTTTGCACGAGGGGGTGGCCAGGGCTGAGGGCGATGTCTTCTCCCCATCCGATGGGAACTGCACCGTCTGCATCTGCTTGGTGAGCTGGACTGGGATGGCAGAATGCCCCCTCATCCCTGGGAACCTCCCACCCCTGGAGACACTTATCCCTAGGAACCCTCATCCTGCATCCTGGCTCAACCATGGATTTGGGATGCCCTGGAGAGGATGACACCCTCCCCTCATCCCTCCATGGGGAATCAGGGTCCTCTTTCCCAGCCCCACACTCCCCTCCACAGGCTGGGAATGTCTCCTGCCTCTTCCCAGAATGCCCCCCAGGATCCTGCCTCAGCCCCTCTCCGGCTGACTGCTGCTCCTGCAATCCAGGTGATCCCAAGACCCCTAGTCTGGGGGTTTGAGGACCCCCGGGCTGGGCTGGGGGTTAGGGAAGAGCCGTGCTTGGCTCTCCAGCACTGCTCCTTTCCCTTTTCCCAGAAAAGTGCAGTTTCCGGGGACACACATATGCGCACGGAGCCCGGTTCAGCCTGGATGAGGATGACTGCACCACCTGTGTCTGCCAGGTGTGTCCTGGATGTCTCCAGGGATGAGGATCCCCAAAGCTGGGAGTTCCCCAGGGATGAGGATCCCCAGGGATACTCCTGTGCTTCCCAGCACCTGCTGGGTGCATCCCAGCTTTGCTCAGGGCTGATGGTAGGGACGGCAGGTGACCCATTCCCCTGTTCCCAGGGAGGAGAGGTGGAATGTTCCTTCACTCCCTGCCCCATGCTGGATTGTCCCCAGCACCAGCGGCACCTGGGTCCTGGGCAGTGCTGCTCCACCTGCCGGGACCCTCCAGCCCCTACCGGTGAGTTGGGATGAGGGACACAGCTGGGAATGGGCAGGGAGGGACAGGGAGAGGGATGAGAGGGAAAAGCTGGGGGAAATGGGAATTACATGGTATGGGAAGAACAGCCAGGATAGAGGATGTGGAGGACCCCTGGGGTTGGGGAGAGTGGGATTTTGGGACATTTGGGGATGGGATGTAGGGAAGGGCAGGGTGGGATGAGAGGGGACAGCTGGAAACGGAGGGTGGGGTGTGGGGGACACAGGTGGGATGTGGGGATACTTGATGATAGGAAGAGTGGGAGATGGGGAATACCTAGGAACAGGAAGAGTGGAATATAGGGAACCCCTGGGGACAGGAAGGGTAGGTTTTACAGGACAGCTGGGAACAGGGATCCTACCCAGGTTGCTTCCTGGATGACAACGGTGTGGAGTTTCCCGTTGGACAGATCTGGTCTCCGGGCGATCCCTGTGAGTTATGCATCTGCCAGGTGAATGAGAACCTGCTCTGCTTAATTCCCTCTTCCCTATCCCTGCCCCAGCGCACGGCTCCTGCTCCATTCCTGCCCTCAGGATGCCCGTGGCCTGGCAGGCCCCAAGTCCCCCAAATCCGGCGGGTTTGGGAATCCCGAGGTGTCTGTCAGGGTGTTCCCTCCTGCAGGCAGACGGCTCCGTGAGCTGCCAGCGCACGGACTGTGTGGAGACGTGTCCTTATCCCATCCGCATTCCCGGGCAGTGCTGTCCCGACTGCTCTGCAGGTAAGGCACGCCCGGAATTCCGGGATTCTGAGCCTCCCGGGGACTGCCTGAGCCCCTCTCCCCGCAGGCTGCACCTACATGGGGAGGATCTTTTCCAACAACGAGACCTTCCCATCGGCGCTGGATCCCTGCCTGAGCTGCATCTGCCTGGTGAGAGCTGGGCCGGGCATTCCCAGAGGATTTGCAGCTCCTGCCCCGTGGGCTGAAACCTGGTTTTTGGCTCCATTGCAGGGAAAAGCTCCGGGGGCGCTCCGGGGTTCCTAATGCCCGGCCCTCGGGGGTCTCTCCCGTCTCTCGCAGCTGGGCTCGGTGGCCTGCTCGCCTCTGGAATGTGCCATCGTGTGCTCCTACCCCTTCCACCCCGAGGGTCGGTGCTGCCCCATCTGTGAGGGTACGAGCTCGGGCAGGTCCCCAAAATCCTCCTGAACCCCCCAAAATCTCCCCAAGCCCCCCAAAACCCCCTCTGGACCTTGGTCCCTGCAGACTGCAACTACCAGGGCAGGAAGGTGGAGAACGGCCAGAGCTTCATTCCCGAGGGACAGCCCTGTACCCGCTGCACCTGCCAGGTGAGACCTCCCATCCATTCCCATGGGATGCCCGTGTCCATGGTACCTGTGCCAGTGTCATTGGATCCCAGCAAGGGCTGGCAGATCCCTGGTTTTCCAGCTTGGAGAGGTGAGCTGTGAGGAGAGGCCGTGCCCCCGCTCCTGCTCTGAGCCCCACACACTGCCTGTGGGTTGCTGCCCATCTTGCCCAGGTAATGGGATCCCTGGATCCATCCCCGGGCACTTGGATGTGCCCTCTCCAGACTGGGGGTCCTGGGAAAGAGGTGGGTGCTGACCAAAATCCTCCCTCCGTCAGCCACAGACATCCGGCTCCTGCTGCAGGGCAGTGACCTGTCCCCATCCTCATCCCCATCCTCATCCCAGTCCTCATCCCAGTCCTCATCCCAGTCTCCATCCTCACCTCCATTCTCATCCCAGTCCCCAGCCCCTGAGGATTCACCCCCTGGCACCCCTCAACACCTCCGCTACCGCCTGGCTCAGCTCCTGCTTCCCACCACACTCCCCCTCGGCCCCTCTCCAGGGATTTGGGGTGCTGGGAAGCCCCATCTGACCACTCCAAGTCCCTCTGGATACCCCTTGGCACCCGCTGTGCCCCCCGACCCCCTCTGTGAGGCCACAGCCCCCCCTGATCCCACGGGCAGCCCTGAGGTTCAGGGATCCCCCGGGAATGAGGATCCCACTGCGGTGCCATCGGACAGCCCCAGGTTCCAGGTGCCAGGTGTGCCTGGAACGCCATGAGGAGGAGAAGGAGGAAAAGGGGGTCTCCAGGACCAGCAGGCCTGGCCCTGGGGAGGGAGCAGCTGTCCCCCTGCCACCAATAAAGTCACTCTGGTATTTATTCCCTGTCCCCTCATCCCTGCACCCACCAGCACGTGGAGCCCTGGGGCTTGTTCTCTGGGAATTTTGGGATGAGTGACTTTCCAGGATGATGAGGGCAGTGCTGGAGGTGTTCAGCCCCCTCACCCTGAGTGGGGTTTGGGGACAGGAGGGACATGTCTTGCCCCAGGTCCTCAAGGCTGGGAGCTCCTCAGGGATGAGCAGAGCCATATCCAGGCTCCCATCCTCGGGGCACAGGGACATCTTTGGTGGGTGCAGCTGAGGGTGGCAGCAGGGACACAGCACATTCCCAGGGATGTGTTGGCCTTTCTCAGACAGACACGGCACAGAGAGGCTTCTCCACACCTTTATTGTCCTCGGTGGTGACAGGAGCACTGGGAAAGGGACAAGCCCTGCCAGCCACCGAGTTGGGAACATCTGGGATTCCCATCCCAGCTCAGGGCAGCCGGGACAGCCCCACCTTGTTGTTGGCCCTGTCAAAGATGACGTAATACTCCCGGATAAAGACATCCCCCAGGATCCAGAGCTCACCCTCCTCCGTGGGCACATCCATGCCTTGCAATCCCAGGGTGCAGTACCCATTATTCTGCTCCAAGGACATGGAAGGGGATGGTCACCAGCTGTTGGATCCCTCCCTCTATCCCCACAAACCCATTCCCAGTGGGATGCTCACCCTTAACACATAGGCTCTGGGCGGCACTGGGAATTTTCTGCCATTGATATGGAAGATGAGGTTGGGAAGGTTGCTGATGGCCTCACAGCTGATCTAGGGAGGAGGACATGGCAGGTTAGCGGCCATTCCAGCTGGGATCATATGTCCTAAGGAGCATCCTGAGGCCTCACCTCACCACTGGAGCTAGCACCAAGGTGCCTCATGAGGGTCCGGAAGGCCCGGATAGGAACAGCCAACAGAGTGGTTCCTGTGTCCACGATGGCCTGGCATCCCAAGGAACAGGCCACCGGAGTCTCGCTGATGGAGACACTGGGAAGAGGGATGCAGGGTGAGCCTGGACTCCCCAAAACACCAGCTTGAGGGCAGGGAATACTAGGAATACCTCTCCATGGTGATCTGCCAGTAGGTTTCAGCAGAGAGCGGGATCCAGGAGATGCCTTTGGTGGTGTAGTAGGGATCGATGGCACCGAAGAGGACAAAGCTCCCACCTTGGCTGTCTCTGGAAAGGGAGATCCATTCAGGGTGGTTCCCAGCCCACCAACACCTCCATTCCCACTGGAAAATAGGGCCAGTGTGAGGGGAAAGGGAGAAATCCTCAGCAGCTTTGGCTGGGATTTACCTGCTCAGGTAGACAGAAAAAAGATTCCTATCCACGAGGTTTTCCATTATCATGTTGTCAAAGACAGGGGTGGCTCCAGAGGAGGCAATGCTTGGGAATGCCAATCCCAGGATGCCATCAAAGGGGGTGTAGTAGAAGAAATCCCCTGGCTCTGTCTCAGCCAGCCCAAAAATCTGGTGGCGGACATTGATGCCAGCAACCTGGGAGAGAGGAGACAGGTGTGGATTGGGCACGATCCCATGGGATCCCATGGGATGAAGGGGCTGGAGCACCTGGCCGTACATTGACGGTGTCATATCCCAGGACTCCGGTCATGCTTCCCGTGCCGTAGGCGATGAACAGGGTGTCATTGGTGCTGAGGAACGTGGAGGATTCCGCAGGATTGAAGCGGTTGTGATTCCCTGTGGGGGTGGGAAGCACAGGGATTGCCTGGGATTTGTTCCTTGGGAAAGACTGGGCAGAGCCTTGCGGGACTCCCAAAGGACACATTCCAGACTCATTCCAGACACCTACTGCAGGCTGGGCTGGAGCAGAAGACCGAGGGAACCCAGAGGTTGGAGGAACCGGTGTCGAAGACCACAGTGAATTCCTGGGGTGGGGTCCCAATGGAGATGGTGCCAAAGTACTCATCCTGTTGGAATGGGATTGGGAAGGGGTTAAAGGGATGGGGAAAGGAGAATGGAAAAGGGGGTAATGGAATAAGTTACAGGAATGGGGAAGGGACTAGTGTAATGGATAACAGGCCAATGGGATGGGGAGGGAGCCAATGTCCCCCTGTGCTCCCTGATCCCAGTTCCCAGTCCCAGCCCCTCACATCCATGTAGTTCTCCAGGGGCTCCACGGCAATGCCTGGGAAATACTTGGCAGCCAGGTTGTAGGGATGCTGCTCCAGGTAACTCTCCAGCAATCCCTGCTCCTGCAGCCTCTGCCGCAGCGACTTCATCTTCCTCAGGGGCACCCTGTGGACAGGGACCGGGATGCATCACCGGGATGTGCCATAAGGGATCACCCCGCACCCCACGTCTCTGTTTTGGGGACCCCCTGGGGCTCACCTGGTCTGGAAGCCCTGGGCCAGGCCCACCAGGGCGAGGAGCAGGAGCAGCTTCATGGTGGGAGCTCACGGAAAATTTGCCTCCGATCCCAGCCCCGCTCCTTATATCCTGGCTCCGGTGTTTGGCCGGAGGCCCCGATAAGAAAGGCAAACTGCTCCTGGGATGGTTATCAAAATGTCCTTAAGAAAGGGGAGTGGGAATGTCAAGCCGGGGGATCCCCATATTCCTGGGGGGATTCAGGCCAGGGTGTTGGGTGGGCAGGAAGCACTCCTGGTTATTCTGTGGAAGCTGGTGGGAATGCAAGGTTGTTTGTACCCTGAACCCTCTAATTCCTTGCTGGAGGGTTTGAGCCAGACGCTTCCAGGAATGGGGCAGCCACAGCTTCCCTGGGAATTCCATTTGCAGGAGTGCCTCACCACCCTCACAAGGAAGAATTTCTTCCCAATATCCCATCTAAACCTGTCCTCTGCTAGTAGGAGCCATTCCCCCTTGTTCTGTCACTCCAGGTCCTTTTTCCAAAGACCCTCTCCAGCTCTCCTGGAGCTTCTTAAAGTGCTGGAAAAGGCTCCAAGGTCTCACCAGATCCTTCTCCTCTTGCCAAGGCTCCATGAAGAATTTTCAGGCTGCCAGGTCCAGATTTTCCATTCTGGGAATCAGCCAAGCCTTTCTCCTTTCCAGCCGCCTACAACACATCCCATCCTCCTTTCTTTTTCCTCAGGGATAATCTGATGTTCCATTCCTTTTCTCCCAACATTCCCCATCCAGGTTCTTCTTCATTTCACTCCCCCAGTGCAACCTAGCACCATATCCTCAGATTCTTCTGTCATTCTGAGCTGGGATGGGGCTGATTCCAAGGGAGGAATGCCAGCTCCAGCCTTAGGGAGCCTTTGATCTCCTCCAGGACAAGGTGACCGTTCCAGGAGCCATGGATCCAGCACGTGGTGACATGACCGACGCCAAGTTGCCCAATCCCACTCCTGTGACCTTCATCCAGAGGCATCCAGAGCTTGGCTTTCCCCCAGCTCGTCCCAGTTTTCCCCCAGTTCAGAGACTCTGGATGTGGGAAAGGAGTGACAGGAGAAGGGGAATGGCTCCCAACTGGAAAACAGGATATTGGGAAGAACCTCTAATCTGTGAGGCTGGTGAGGCCCTGGAATGGATTTCCCAGAGAAGCTGTGGCTGCCCCATTCCTGGAAGCGTCCAAAGCCAGGTTGGAGAAACCAACCTGGAATGTGTCCCTGTAGATTTTGTAGTTACCAAGTTTTCCTCCTTTTTTTGGCCAAAATAGTTGAGAAAACAAAAATATTAACTTTTCCCAGAGCTATTTATCCATTGAATTCCCAGAACTGCCATCCCAGGGGATAAGGATTCCCGTTTTCTCAATGGGTAAAAAACCACATTTGCCCAGTTATGGGAAGTTCTAGGACAAGCTTATTGTGCTGCTGGTAAATCCCATCAAAGCAGAACAATGGATCCAGCAGGGATGGATTTTTGGGTGGATGATATCCACAGAAGGAAGAAGCTGTGGAATTCAGGACTGGGGAAAAAATGGGAATTGCTATTTAGCACTAATTAAATCCAGAATAAAATCTGGGAGGACAGAAAACTAACCACTTTTAGGGAGTGAAATGGCTTCCTGGGAGAGAAATCCTGGATTTTCCCAACCTTGGTGGGAAATGGAGGGTGTGAGATGCTGGATCCTGAAATAATCCATCCAGGTGCTGGGAGCTCACTGGATGGGAGCAGGTGGCCTCCCTGCCACAGCTTTCCTTGGCACCAGAGGGCACCACAGCGTGCAGAGATCCCAAAAACCCCCAGCTGGAAAAATGCATCTGGAAGCTTTCCCTGCCGGTTGATGCAGGGGCATCAACAATAAAACAATTAAAAACCCTCCCAGAATTTAGGCTTTTACCGGGAAAATTCAGATTTTTAATGTCATTTGGATGTGGAAACATCCCTTGGGATTAATTTAACTTCCATGGGAATCACCCTCTGGATCAAACAGGGATTTTTCAAGCTTTTGGGGCATCAAAATTCGTTCTGACAAAACTTCCTTAATTTTATCTCGGCAGCCTCCCAAAAAATTCCCCTTATGGAGACAGAGCTTTTCTTGGAAATGGATTAATGAAGTCAACTTTTCCAGGCCCTGTTCCCAGTTTTTCTTGTCCCTTCCCTAAAGGCTTTTATCACCCGGGTGCTTTATCAGAGCTGTCAGATGAAAGGAGGGAAATCTGACGCTCCCGAGGTGTCAAATTTCCGGGATTTGATTAAAAATATTTAATTAACTTATCAAGGAAGCCCAGGGATGTTGGCTGATCCTTGTAGGAATGGAATTTTGCAGAATGGGACCTCAGGGTGCTCAGGTCACCTTTTCCTACCTGCTGTGGGTGATTTTGGCTGGGATTAAGATGCCATCCAAGGGAAAAAAACATGTGGAAACATCTTTTGTGGAAATTAAGGATATTAATGAGCAGTTAATGTGAATATTCTTCCAAAACCACCTGTTTATCCCAAATTTATTTCTGGATAACATTTTAAAATGGGTATTTTTCCATTTCTTCCGTGCAAATCTGAACACAATTTTCCCTCTCCTCAAACCTTATGTTTTAATAGAAAATGTTAATTAAACATTTTCCAGCTTTTCCAGGTCTGTGGAAACTGCTCTGAAAGAAGATTGGAAAATGTTTTTTTTTTCCTTTTGGCAAGTCAAATCCCTTTGCTTTCCCATGGCACTGGTTTATCAGCCACACTGGGAACAAATTGTCCTTGATTTACCCGGAATTATTTGGGATCATATGACTCCAGTTTGTTACACAACAGCTCTAAGGTGATGGGGTCACAGGTGCCTCTCCCAGGTCCCAGCACTTCTGGAACAGCTGGGTGACCTTGCCCAGACTTCCAAAGTCTCCCCAAGGAGCAGAAATCATGGAGCTCTTCCCCTACCTCATCCTTGCTTGGGTTTTGGGAATGTGGACTTACAGGTGG